AGATCTTAGCTGTCCCCTTGTGTGCAGCTGAATGATACCTGCTGGGAGGGAAGGGTGCTGGTGTGCCCCTCTGTCTGGTTTTGGGAGGGGAAGAGTTATAGCCTCCTCATCTTCCCTTTGTCTACCAGAGGGACACCCCCCCTCAACATGAGGGCTTGGGGGAAACGTACTCGGTGCCTAAGCCAAGTCCACTGCCCCACACCAGGGCATTCCTCTGCCTGGTGGCTATTTGACCCGTGCCGTTTTCCCAGCCCTGAGCCCCGCTGCCAAAGCCATGTAGGACTTTTCCCTTGTTTGGCATTTCCAGCACATGGCTTTGATGGGGCAAGACCAGGGCTGGCAGGATGCAGAGGGCACAGTGGAGTGACAGAGACCCCCGAGCCACTGCAGTGGTGCCACTGTTGTCCTCCCCACGGTCCGTGTGCCTACAGCCACTGCTCAGACGGTGCAGGGGCACCCAGGGGCTGGCAGGGATGAAGTATGCCCATTTTCTAGCTGCTCTGCCACCTGGGGAGGGAGACAGCGTCCCTCCATCCCTCTCCGCAGGGTCCCCGCTCTCCTCCTGGAGCGGGAGGGCACTCCTGGGGTGCCCCAGAGTCTGCCCGGGCCTCCGGCCCCTGCTGCACCCAGCTTTCCTGCCCGCCTCCCAGCCAGGACCAGGCACAAGAGTGGCTTGTGGTGGTGTGTGGAGCGATAAAGCCAAGGAGTCGAGCTCGGCCTTGCCTCTTCCTTCGCGCCATGAAGTCAGGGGGGATGCGCCAGCAGCCAAGGCTGTCCCAGGAAGGGGGGTGTGGAGGCGGGCACCACCCCCCCCCCCCCGGGGAGCCGGTCCGGGTGTGCCCCACTCACCGGTGGTGGGCAGGGGACCCCCGGCCAGGGTACACCTCCTCAGGATACAGCCCCGAAGAGGGGGGGAACAGGACTGTTGCCAAGGCAATCGCGCTCCTCTGGTCTCCATGGCAACTGCTCCCCTGGACCGCTCCCCATCAGTGCCTGGCTGCAGTTGCCCAGGCAACCCACGGGCTCTCCTGGCTCCTGTGGCTTTG